AATGGTTCATTTTTGGTACAAGCAAGTAGATTTATACATAATAGAGCGCCATCAAACTAAGTTTTGGACAGAGCTGCCATTATTTTGTGAGATTGAGAGAACAGGAACCCTAAAGGAAATACCTTCTTGCAATCATTTCCCTCTACAGTCCCAAGACGACAAAGGATTTGTCTAGTGAACATGTCGAATACAATCACAGCTGAATCTTAGGCTCTGTTTACACACAAGTCAATGGCTGAAACAGATTTTATCTCCATTTGTAAACTATTATTGCATTTTTTCGCCATTATCTGTCCAAAACGCTATTGACGCTGTTTCTATTGCCGTCTGTGCCTCCATACTAGGGATTGGAGTCATCATCATTTTATTCATCATCTGCTGGGTCTGTCCATGCTGCTGTCTCTATAAGAGGTTCAGAAGTCCTAGACGTAAGTGTCAATGTTTATACGTCAAAATGGCCGAATGTTTTTAGAACCTCATCCCAACCTTGCTCCACCTTTGATTCTTCACGCAGCTGTGACTACAACATCTACAGTCGTGACGACACAATACCTTCCGCAGCCTTCAGCTGTCGTTCAGGGCGGTTGGTACCTTCCGTACCAGGCTTTGCCAAATAACCCACCTTACGGAGGCCAACCGACGCCAACTGGACCACCACCCTCATATCAGGAGGCTGGTAAGATCTGCAAACGAGATGACCAAGACTATTTGAGCCAAGATGGCAAACCATCAAAATGATTGCTGTCTTTGGTTTTCCAGTAGGTCCAGGGCATCCTGTTCCCATCCAGGTTGCGTATGATGGTGGTCAGGCCATGTACCCTCTACAGTCTATACCTCACCTCAACCAGTGTACAACCCAGCTTGCTTGGAATCACAGATTGCACCAGTTCAGTTGGTCAAGACCAGTAACTAAACCAAAACCGCTGGATCATGGAGGGTTATGCATTTCTGCGTTGCTTTTGTAAATTGTGCAGCTACTGTGGACACTATCCTACAATGGCGCTGAGAATACAAGTATTGTTGTTCATTAGTATTGCTATATTTATGCTCTCTTATTCACCATTGTTGTTTATACTTGCTTTAAAGCTGCAGTCCGTAACTTTTTTTGGTTAAAAATGATCCGAAATCAATATTTGAGCAAGTACATAACCAGCCAGTGTTCAAAACTATCGCCTTACTTTAGCCCGATTCACAATGGTTATCTTATAATAATGTTTTCTAATTTGAGTGGTACGGGTAGGTTTTCGCGGGAAATTCGAGCATGGCACTGCGTCATTACGTCACTTCTGTAAACATAAAGAAGCTGTCCCGGCTACTAGGCTATCGCATGTGAGGATCCTGCAGGTGGCGGATCGTTTATAGCCTTTTCTCACAGCAGCTGGAATAATTAAATGTATGATTTTGATGGCGGATTGTAATCCAGAAAGGACTGTGTGTTTATTAAACACATGTGAATGAAATTAAATTATATTCCAGTTTTAAATGTGCTTCTGATTACAGATAGCCTGGGATTACAAAAGATTTGTATTTTAAAGACAACCAGTTCAAAGGGAGCATAATTTGCTTTTTGGGTTAAAATAATTTCTTAATATGAAATTCGAATGGTATGACAATTAGAGATTAGACTGTACTGAAATTGAAATCTACACGCTAATGCACACTATATTCACATAGTCACGTAATGCTGATTTTGTTAACATTAACAATTTGAGAATAGAGTATAACAATAATAACGGTTTGATGTGATATGAGCTAACCGATCTTTAGATTAAATCACCATTGGTAGCGCGATTTCTTGTAATGCTTTTTTCCTCAGTTGGTCAGAACAAACGTGGCAGACTTGTTACTTACTTGTTCAGATGACAATATACGGTGAAAATACCTATTTGGGTCATATATTCCAAGACGTTGGCTAGAATCTGTGATTGGCTAGAATCTGTGATTTCGCAAGTTAAATTGTTAATTTGTTTATCGATTAATTTCATGCCAATCAAACTAAGCAAGAGTCAAGTTGACTATCAGAGTTAAGAAGAAGAAGAAGAAGAAGAAATTGTTTTGCATCTAGTTTATTTAATCTCTCACAATTTTCTTGAAGATTTTGTTGGAGAGCAGTGGGTTTTGTTTTAGACATGTTCTATTTGTATTTATATGATTGTGTACTTAAAGTCAATATGCTTCACACGTTACATTGGTGGTTTTTGGTTTTGTTGAGAGTTTCTTGTATGGGGGGGCACTACAGCCACTAACCAGGATTGTTTGAGTTACAACAGCAAGATAAACGTGGTTTAATTGGTCCTGCAGTCTCCGGAAATACACGATCAGCACGAAACGAGCTCTTGAAAAGGAAGAGCTGCTATGCCTACAACAATACTGTTCTTCTGCTCTTTACTGCAGTTTTATTCGCGGTGACCGTAAGTGTCTAATTGTTTGTTTAATCAAATTGGTAAGCACTGCATAAGAAAAAATCTGTAAAAATATTTTTTCACGATTCTCCTGTATCTGTATCCTGTTATTATTGTAAAAGTTCAATAAACAGGAAAAAAAAAATCTGTAGAAAAAACGGAAAAGATACTGGTCATATTCTGCGAAGGACGTTATCCGCATTTACAATTTTAACATTTAACTCTAAATCACAATGCAATGCGTAATTAAAAATACAGGTAAAACACCCGTGAAGAACCAATACAAAATTTTTCTTCACATTAACACAATCGCTACATAATGCCCTATTTAACGGACTTTTCTTAAAGTGTTTCTTAACTACGAATACAGCATGGATGTCACATGTTTCAGGATTTATTTTACTAATGTATGTTCTAGGTGTTTTCAAAGCTTTCCATTTGTCATATACGCATCGTTTTTCAAAGTATTGCGAGTGTATAATTGCTGTTTTCAGTCCTAAAACCCTTAAATATTTCTTGCCAATTATTTAGAAAATATAAAGACATGAAACGTGAGTATTATTATTACTTATAAACTTTAACATCTAGGCTACACTAAACATGTTAGCTAAGCTTGATTCCTGAACGAATCTTTGCTTTGAGTCGGGTCTTTTCAATGACTCAATCAAACTGGCTAACAAAAATGGTCTGAATGATTTGTTCATCAATTCGACTCAAGATCCGACTCATAATGATCCAGCTTATTGAACAGAGAGCCGTCTTGATGTCAAAATTATGAATTTTAGTTAATTTTAGTAGATTATTTGTATGAACTGATGGACGGAAGTAGGTCGATTTTTTTTTTCTGCGCGTTTAGTTTTTTCAAAAAAATAACCAAGGATGCAGAAAAATGTTTGTCTTTTATAAGGAAAATTGAGGACGAACCTCATTAGCTGTAACTCGTGTAGTAATTCTGATAATTTTTTATTTAATTATCAGAATAATAAATTTTATTCTGATAAACCAACACTGAGTGAAAATTGGTCCAATGCTTGTTATTCAATGTAGCGAATCAGCTCATGGGGAAATATGAATAATTAATCATAACTAGTTATAATTAATTATAAATATTTAGATCCGCTGTAGATATTTACTTGACCTCTCAGGGTCAACTGTCTGTCAATTCTAAGAACGTTAATTTCCTGGTTAAGGGAAATAACTTTCTTACTGTACAACTCTACACAGAGCCTGCAGCATAAATCTGCATGATTAGGGACGCCAGTTATGAGTAAACAATGAACAACGTCAAGTGTGATACAAAACTTTATTAACTACATAAACACTTAAAAAAAAAACTAGTCTAACATACACCTACACATACACACACACACACACACGCATACAGTTGGTATAGGAAAGGGTTAAAAGCTTAACGCAGTAAAGAGAAGAGAAAAAAGAATATGAAGTTATGGAACCATTTGCATATTCAGCAGATCTACCGCCTGAAGGAAACATCAGATTCTTAGTTCAAAAACACCTTTGTAAAAAGGTGCAAATGATACCTAATGTATCAATTAATAAGACTAAGTTTGAATACTTGCACGTCTCGTCTGTCTGAAAGAGAGGCTTGATGCAATCTGAAGGTTCAAGTTGATCTTTGCTGAAGTTGGTTGATGAAAAAGAACCAGTTTGAGTCAGAGAATCTTGGTGAATGGAAATTCAAGGCCGAAGGCCTGGCACAAAACTTAGGATGTCCTGGAGCGTTGTAGCTCACATCTTCTCAAAACCTAACAGAACCACCGACTCTCGGGCGGGTCACTGATGTGAGGCCTTTAAGGTCTGAGAAGATTCACGCCTCTCAAGATGGCTTGTCCAATGAGAAAGGCTGACGTCCCAAGCAGGAGGTTGGACATACTGGGGATTTTTATGACCCTTTGTGTGAAAGCATGGTAATTTGCATACGGAACTTGAATCGAAATTACTAAAGATTCTCAGGACACTAATATATTGCCTATGTACCAACATATAATATACACGCTCGTTTAGATCATCAGAAGGCGAATTCATAGATACTAAACATGGTAGGATTACATATAGGCAAGATAACAGGAATGGGTTCCATCATAAGCATGCATAGAATAGTCTAAAAATATCAAAGACAACATACACAATGACCTGAAGGATATGTGTGTTCATTCAAAGAAAGGTTTTCCTATGGATTAATTAGAAAAGAGTCAATTTCTACACTGTGCACTGTGTCTCTTCCTATGGAAAAGGCAGTGATTTTCCCTACTCACATTCCATTAGGTCGTAAATGTATCTGGTGTCAGGGTTGCCATGGTAACCAGGGTCCTGGGCCTTGTTCACAGACAACTTGGCACCCAGTATGTTTATTGGGTGAGGGGTCTGTGAATGTTTGTTAATCTAATGAATAATTGATTTGTTAAATCAAATGAAAAATGGTGTGTCTGATTGGTCCAGACGCTACATCAAAGACTGAATTGGTTGTTTGAAACCTGTAACACTCAGTTTCTAATGTTTATTTTCCCTAATCTGTCCAGAAGCAAAACCTTAAAATATTCAAGTCACTCTCCCCATCGAATGGAAAACATTATCATTGTGACCATAGTGTTTTTCGTGATGGCCTTTATTGTGTTCATCTCCTGCTGCCTGAGTAAAAGTATGAGAAAATGTATGCGTAAGTGTCAGTATTTGTGTACAAAGAGCTGCATGTGGGTTTTGTTCATACTAAATGCTGCCTTTTGATTCATCTTTTGTAGAACATATGGTGTCAAGAATTACCGTCATGATTGCACAATACCATTCACAGGGGAGTCAGTACTCACCTTACCAGGCTAATAACCTTCTCCCAGCTTATGGATTGCAACCCATTCCGACTGGACCAACTCTGGGACCACCATATGTACCAGGACCACCACCCACATATCTGGAGGCTGGTAAGATCTGCAAACATATACCTGTTTAATAATAAGAATAAAGCCTAGCACATTCTACAAGGCCAAATGTTGTTAAACTTTTATTGTTTTAAGTCTGTGACAAGACGTTCATGTTGCAACAAAATCGCCATACTTGTACTTAATATACATAAAGGGATAATTCACCCAAAAATGAAAATTCTGTCATCATTTACTCACCCTCAAGCACAAAAGAAGATATGTTGAAGAATGTTGGTAACCAGACGGTTGACGGTAGCCACTGACTTCCATAGTATTTATTTTCCATACCATGGAAGTCAATGGCTACTGTCAACTGTTACCAACATTCTTCAACATATCCTCTTTTGTGCTTGAGGGTGATTAAATGATGACAGAATTTTCATTTTGGTTGAACTATTGCTAAATCTAGCCGACCCATCTTTAAGTGTGTGCGCTCCGTCTTCGACAAAAAAGACAGCAACAAGGAGCCACTTAAAATGTGAGTGAAAGTACAGAGCCAAAAACTGTGGAAGCTCAAAACTGCCTAAACTTCTTTTTTATTGTCACAGAACTATTTGTTCACATGCCAAGAATAAATTCTTGCGTAACTATGTGTGTGAGTTTTTGAGAATAGGATTGTGGTGACTGGGCGAGATGAATGATTTTGCAATCGCGTGACTGACGCAGACAACTGAACATAAGAAACTTTACATTACATGAGAAATAAAGGGGGAAAAATCAATCCTATCTTTAATTACCGAACAACTGGTTTTCGTTTTCCAGCAGGTCAGTTTCCTGCTCCCTTCAGCCAGGCTGCATATGACGGATGTCAGATCATGTACGCTCTACATACACCTCACCTCAACCGCCATACAACCCCGATTACGTGAAATCACCAGAGACCAGTTAACCCCCCCACCACCACCACACACACACAAAAAATGGCCAGTTATCAACACTGTATTGTGGAGGGTTTCGCATTCCCGCGCTTCTTCTACAGACTCTGAAAAGATTGTGTTGAGAATAAAAGTATTGTTGTTGTTCATGTGCATTTGCCATTGCTAAGTTAATACTTGCTTTGTGAACTTTTTTACTCCAGTCATGACCCACTGTTTGTTTGTTTCTCTTCATTTGAACCAAATTTGCTCTCAGTGTTTTGACACCTTTTGTTGTATGGCCTTTTGTTTAATGGTCAATAAATGGCATCTTAAACAAAAATTTTTAATGGTCAAAAGTTAATGCATCATCTCTAAGTGTGAAAACAATCCTTTGTACAATTTTATTGTAGTTTTTGAACATTATTCTATTAAACAAATCAACCAGCCACTGGCCAACTTCAGACTTACGGTGAATAAATAGCAAAAATCTTAAACTGAACTGCTCTCCATGTGTGAAAACAATCTTGCACCATCTTAAGACTATTTTTATTGTATATTTTGGACATACTCTTAAAGATAAAGGTTCTTCACTGGCATTAATGGTTCCACAAAGAACTTATAACATACATAGAACCTTTACATCACACAAAACAAATGGTTCTTTATAGCGGAGGAAGGTGTTCTCTAAATATTCATATATATATTATTTTGTAACCTTTATTTTTAAAGGGGTGGTTGATTGCGATTTCACTTTTTTAACGTTAGTTAGTGTCTAATGTTGCTGTTTGACTCAGCTCCAAAACTGAACTGTTACAATTATACACTTATTTTCACATAGCTATGAGAAGAGTTAAACATGGACGCGCGTGCAGTTGCCTTACTATTAAAGCTTTAATCAGGATAAAACTGTATATTATAAGCAGTAGCATTTACAAATAACAGCGTATCTAAAAGTATGAGACAACAACAAACAAAAAACATAGTCCTACCATTAAAAGCCATGCTTGCACACTGTAGGGATGTGCATCTCATGACTCAAGCCGATACGATAAGCATCTCGATACGATACATTAAAGATACATATGAAGCAGCTACCGATGCGATGCGATATGATTCACCCCTATTACGATGCAATGCGATCCGATTTCGATTCGATTCAACACAATGCGATTTGATACAATATGATGCAATGGAGAAAATATGATCACATTTAATGTCTTGAGGCAAGTTTCATAAAACAAGTTAACCAAATAAGCCAGGCTTATTTCAGTTAGTCTGACTCATTGTCAAATGATTAGGTTCCATAAAGCAAATTTAACATAGGCCTAGATCAAGCTTAGTCACTGTGGCAACTTATGCTGGGAAACTAACCTGGTCTAAAGCAGGCTAACTGTCAGGCTAAGCTAAGCTCCTCTAACACTGAC